GTGTGTGTGTGTGTGTGCGTGTGTGTGTGTGTGTGGACATGCCCTTCACAACAAAAACAAACTCTCTCACACTACAAACACAGAAGAAGAAAAAAAATAAAGAAAACAAAATCCAGCTTTCGCTGTGGCGCAGATCCGACAACACAATATGTTTGTAAAATATAAAGAATCTGTATAATATTGGAGAGTTATTCAAAATTAAGACGTGACTAGCATTAGAGAGAGGAAAGTGTTTCCACGTGATTATGACTCATGTAAACACAGAGGCCGTTTGGACCGATTTATGATCCATGTATTATTTTATAGATTCCAGTGCACTAAAATGTTATGTCCCAGATAGCACACGTACATCGTGGAGACGTCTATTTGACGTCTGCATTTACATCTGGAAGACAATTTTTTTAGAGTGTTTGCTCATCTGCAATACGTCTATAGGACGTTTAATTTTAGATGTCAAATAGACATCTATTAGATGTCTATAAGATGTTTATGATTTAGAATGTATGTAAAACTGACATCTTATAGACGTCTGTCAGATGTTTGTACACAGCAGATGCTTTCCAGATCAAACGATCTTTAACAGACATCTTGCAGACATACGTGTGCTATCTGGGTACATTGCTTTTGAAAATATATGGAACTATTAAGTGACGATATCACGTTGCATATTTATTTACTGTAGTAGTGCTAATTTAGTGATTAGCCAGCAACACAAATGTTTTTTTTTTATCCATCACAGTCAGAATGCTATTAAACACAATTCATAATCTGAGATTTGACGGAAATGATCATGACTTTCAGAAATATGACTCGAAATATGACAAATTATAACTGAAGAAACGCCAATAACATTTTGTAAACACTGAAGCTTATTTATTTTGATGAATTGTCTTTGAATAAAGGTACATTTGTTTTCACACTGCTTGCTGTGGGTAATTTTCTCTGTACAGAACACACAGATCAATAACTCCATATTGCATAACCAAGGCAATCCCGGATTGATTGAAAATCCTTATGGCAGTCACACTCTAATGGCATCGTGACTACCCTTACGTAAATGTGAAATGATTTTGCCTTTGTGTTTACATGAAAAGACGAGCTTTCATTTCTTAAAAATCTCCAAAGTTTAATACAGAGGTGTAGCAAGAGTTACAGATGCAGTCCAATGATGAGGTTGCCATAGTAACTGCAGATCATCAGAGGCCTAAGACAATGTGTTCTAGCGCAGCCTGTACTGCGGCTCTGATGTTTTTGGGAGAGACAGAGGATGATTAGCATTCAACATGATATCATACGGTCACAACTCATGATATGATCTCTCTCTCACTCACTCTGCCTTCTCTGTGGGGAAGTAAGACATTTAAGGTTCTCATATAAGATTTGCATCACTTTTCACCACTGCAGAAGTAAATCACGCACACATTCCACCACACTAAATGAAGCATAAAGATGGCTAAACATGAGTGCATTTCTAAATGACTGTTTTATGCATAGGCCTAATTTGTGTGTGTTTGTGTGAGTGTGTGTTCACTCGTTCTATGGGCCAGCTGAGGCCAGGCACATGCTGCATCCACCAAATGTCAGAAAGCATTTCGGTTCCTCATTTGAGGCAGAGCATTGTCCCCCAGGGGAGAGCAGATTCCCTTTCTTCTCCTCCTCTCCCTGCTTTATGCATCCCTCCCTCTGTCTGCCAGCTTCACTGCACTGCACTTCTCTTCTCTTCCCGGAGAAGACACAGCTGAGCGGATGCAGGGACATGTGGGTGGAGGGAAAGAATCGTTTAGAGACCACCATGTCGCATCATTTTAAAATTATTTGCAGTCCAGATGAGTTGATAAATGTAGTGTACCATTCTCGATGTGCAGTTAACTCTTCGGACAATGTACAGTTCAATGCATAACACATTTTTGGATACTTAAAATGACTAAATGTGATTGTATTAGATACAACATACCAAAACAAGTGACATATGCAAATCAAAAATTCCTTTAAAATACCTGCCAGCCAGTTTGATATCTTGTTATACAGTCAAATGCAAAGATAATCATAATAATTTTAAGTGTGGTTCGGTCTCCAAATATATAATATATGATCACTCATTTATTTATTTATTTAATTTTTTATTTCAATGTATTTATAGGCACATGCTACAGTGTAGGGTAAGTAAATAAATAAATAAATAAATGCATGAATGAGTGAATGGATGGATGGATGACCATTAATTTTGATTTTTGATGACAGCATGCTCCGCTACTATAAAAGTTAAGATTTCACAGTCTTAACCTTTTGTTTAACAAAATGTTTAAACAGAATAAATGAATGAATGAATGAATCAGGTACACTAATATGCAAATATAAATCCATTGCTTTGGTCAACTGTTATTGCAAATAAACAGTTAAATGAAATAACACGCTGGTTTTTCACATTTAGGTTTTTCTTTGTTGTTTGTTTGACAGTTAATTATTTAAAGACAGCAAAACACCCACAATATCAGGCTGCTTGTAAACTCCTTGATTGTTTCTAGTAAAGGATGATGTCTTGGGCTGCTGTGCAACTGTGAACAAGCAATAAAATAAATCAACCAACCAGCATGCAGACTGGAAAAATCTCCTCTGACACGCCATCAGTGCTGAAAGCCTAGACAGCTGCCGCATGAGAGCCCAGTGAGGGAGCACTGCTGACCCGCAACTAATGAGTGTGGAAAATGAATTTCGTAGCGCTCTCTGGTTAAGTACATCAAACAGAGAGTGAGTGAGGGAGGAAGGGGAGATGAAGAAAGAGGAGCAATGTAATTTTGCCGTCCAGACAGAACAGAAGAAAGCTCTCTCTGTGTAAGGCCTTTTTTAATCCACAAGTCTAAATGGACCAGTTTACAGTAAAAGACACGCAGTTTCTAGCTATTTTGGCACTCTAGGCCTGTTACTGGGGGTGATTTCCAAGAAGAATGGAAATTGAATATCTTTAGACCCCTCAGTTTTTCCTTTATCAAGCTGAAAGAAGTTAAGAAGTCCTTGCATTATTTTCCGTCCCATTGTGCTGTGCCTCATGTTTTTAAAACTCACCTATATTTAAATATTTTTTTTTACAGAATTAGCTACACAATTTTAATCTATTAAACTAATAGCCCTGATTTAAATTTAGAGTTAGATAAAGTTTAACAGTATGTACACACCTGATACACAGTGCCGTCAACCCATTTTACTAGAAAACGCAACTATATTGCAAGGTGGAAATTTTGTGTGAATTCATACAGAAATTTTTAGAAAAAAAAAAAAGGTCCACAGCTAAACCTAAATGTCAATGGGCCCTAAGCAGATCAAATGAAAACGTATGAATGAAACTCAACAAATTCATGCGAATTAGCCACTGATTTGCCCTGATAGCATGTTGATCCCATGCACAAAGTGATTTAGACATAATATGCAATATTTATAATCTATTGTTGTGACTAAACCACCCAAATATCCCTCACGTTTGTGTGTGTTTGGGTCTGTTTGTATATGCACACACAGACACATTTATGTCGGTACGTGTTTGAGTGTTTCATGGATTTCATTTTGATTCGATTTTGGCGAGCAGACTGAGCTAGACATCTTGACACAGGGCAGCAAATCACAAGGAGAAAGACTGTCACCAGTCTCTTCTCCTAATTGGTTGGAGGTTAAAAATAGCTCTGGCTAGCCATCATGAGACTGATTTACAGCCTTCATTTACAAGGCTAACACACTCTCAGGGGGTTCTTTGTGCACTCTGCATGATGTTTCCAAACCCTTAGTTATCCATAGCCGTGGAAGTCCTGCAGTATACTCCCTCTTGCATTTATCAGTAACAGTAACAGACTCAAAGTCATAACATTTGTTGATTGCATGCATTACAGCAAGGTGCTTGAACATGAGAGAAATGTGTCTGTATGTGGCCTTACTTGGTTATTTTATGGCAGGCATTTTACCTTATGGTTCTCCTATTAACATCTGGAATCAGTTGAAAACATACTGTAGTAGAATAAATGCATACAGGTCAAGATTTGTTTACTCTTCAGCTTTATATATATATATATATATATATATATATGAAAATGAAATGAGAAGGATCCTGGCCTGAAATGGCCCATGTTCCTCTGACTCTCTCACTTTACCTTTGTTCTTGCCTCACATAAATTCATGAGATTCTGGGCAAAAGGCCTCAAAATGATTCACACAAAGAGATTTCACTCGGGACTGTGCCATTTGAGGGCTGACTTAGCTGGAGGAACAGAACAGGACTGATATTCACTGGACGCAATGTGACCTGTCACACTGGATTCATCTTCAAACAAGACGACCACACAAAGGGTTCAAATGCAAATCTGATGGCCTCATTTAAGATTCCTGTTTTCACATAATACTTTATATATTTTTATTTGTCTTTAATATATAAAGCTGATTTTTATATTTTTTATTAATTTAATTAATATTTTACATTTAATTGTAATATTATATTTTTGAAAGAAGTCACTTATGCTGAGGCTGAACTTTTTTGATGAAAAAAAGAGTAAACAGCAATATTATGAAATATTATTTATATTATAAATATTTATAATATAATTTAAAATAATTCCTTATTACTATCAGTTGTGCTGCTTAATACTTTTGCGGAAACCGTGATACTTTTTTCCCCCCGGGATTCTTTTAGTAACAGAAAGTTCAAAAGAACTGCATTTATTTGAAATATAACTGTGTGTGTGTGTGTGTGTGTGGGTGTGTGTGCGCGCGCACAAACATACATTTTCATGCTACTTTGGCCATTAACTGTTTCCACTGTTGAGACTTTGAGTGTAAGGTAGTTAAAGTACCTCAAAGTATGAACTACACATAAACATAAACGTTAACGGTGACTAAATGTGTGAGACGACAATGCTAATGTCAATAGATTCATTATAAAACGGCCATGTTAAAAACTGACGAGGGAAATTGTTGAAGTACTAGAGCAAATGTAAGTGAGAGGTTTCAAATCTTAGTTTTTTTTTTATCATATCATGGTGTTCTGAGGGATGGGGAAGAAAATCAGTTTATGTTAATGTTTTTATCTGTCTTAAAAGTGAGCCAATCATGAGAAAAGATAACATATTTTATTTAGAAGACAAGTGAGAAAATGTTCTATATCAAAGTGTGTAGAAAAAAGCTACAAAAGCTAGTTTAGACTGCTTTTACTCTGTGTGTCTGAGGTATGATGGGAAGAATGAAAAACGACTGCTGTAAGGAAGACAATTATGATGAGTCGAAAGCAAATTAACGTTTAAGTGAATATAGCTTTGGCTTTCCCTGTGATTTTGTACATTATGAGACCTCTAGTGATTGGATTTTTTTGGGGGGGGGGGGGGGGGGCTTGTATTTTGTTTTATGATCTAAGTAAATGGAGTCTTCATATTTAAGGGCATTTAAATTTTTTTGTGCAACAATGCATTTACCTAACAAATTTTTTACCCTAATGTGGATGGGATGATGTACGGATCCAAATAAACAGAGTTTGTGCTCATATTTACAAAGTCCGACACAAATGTAGCTAGAATAAACAGAATGTGCCTCATCATGTCTTAGTTTTCTGATTGTTTGTCAGAAGTTTGGATTATTAAGTTATATTGCCAAACAAAGGAAGACACTAAATTCTCTCTCCAGCGTAGATATAAAACAATTCTGCATGTTCGGTCTGGTTTGCTTTAGAAAACGAAAACATTTCAGCGTACAGTTATACTACAACGTGTTAAATAAATAAAAGCCTATTAAAAAGACAATAGTAAAAAGGCACACAGTCTTTAGACAAATGGTACAGAAAAGTAAACAGTTTCTCTCTTTACAAATACTTTTTCTTCAGTAGTTCGCATTTGACCTCATCACACACCCATAGCTTTACAAAAAGTTTATGTTGGTACAAAAAAAGAGAAATCTTCTCAGTAGTGTCTACTCCTCACCACCAGGTAAACAAACAAACAAACAAACAAACTGTCCACATTGGCCCCAATCCTTCATGTTTATCAAAGTTGCCTGCCAATTGTTCAGGTCCAAAATGTCTGCAGCATTTATTTCCTGAGAGCTCCTACCAAACTGTCTCCAAACGTAAGTGCAAGGAGGGCAAGACATCCTCCTCCCACGAGGGCCTAAAAAAGCACCCCATGCGGGCTTTTTCAAAAGCATCAACTGCAGGATTGCTCCTCTCGCAAGGGAAAAAACAGCTACCGCCTATTAAGAGACGCTGAGTCCTATGTGTCGACAGGTGAGGCGTCTTCGGTAACTATCTGGATGTGTGTAGTGGATTCCATTTCTTCCCCTCTGTCTTCTTCTTCTTCCACATCTTCTTCCTCATCACCCTGGCTCTGTTCATCTTTTTCTGTGCCTTCTGAGTCCTCTTCCTCTAGCGTGAGCTCAAACTGGAACTTGTCAGGCCCTGAACCCCCGCCGTTGCCTTCTTTGTCGGGCTGGTAGAAGGGTGGGGAAGGGCTCTGGGGGATCATGCTCTGGTACCAGTTCCGATTATCCTCCAGCGTGTCCAGGATATCCTGGGCATCCGGATGCACCAAGTCGGCCCAGGTTTCCCACAGCGGGTGGACGATGTAGTCAATGAAACCCACCTGAAGAGAAAAAATGCGTTAGATGTTGTACTTAAAATATGGTACTTCATGAGACCGTTGCATCTAAGACAGTAACTAACCTGTGATTTCTCTACTGAGGCAGTGTGTTTGTCACACATGGGGCTGATCTCCATGCCACGCTCCCTCTCTCTGTCACCCTGGTGAAAGAACTCATCCATGATGCGGTCGGTCCACTGCCGGTACAACTCTAGAGACTTGGTGGGATTGCTCAGATCGGCGCAGTGAACCATGTTCCTCAAGACCTGAAGTAACGTCACAATTTTAGACAACTGCAGTTAATCGCGTTCCTCTAATTTATCTGAATCATCTCAGCTGGAGATCATGCAATCATTGGATTTTCCAATGGGAAGGAGAACAGAAAGATTTGTACCTGTATCCTGTCTATGTAGTTGTCCAGAAGTAAAACTCCTGAGCTTGTCACTTTCTTCGTCTCTACCATGGTCTTCAGATCGGCCAGTAAGCTCATGTGCTTAGACATGTCTGTGGCAAGTACCTATTAACAGGAAATAATATGTGTTAGCATATAAATCATTGCAATGTAACTGAAAGCAGATGGCCTAAAAGGAAGGAAGGAAGTGAAGAAACTCACCATGTTGATGACCATCCTTCGGAGTGACTGCCTCTGTTTCTTAGTGAGGTTCTGGAAGATGTCGCAATTGTCCTCTTGGAGAAGTTTAAAGCCCACGGCTAAGTGGTGGTTCTCCAAAACCGACTCATCGTTATACATGAGCGCTAACTCAGAGTCTGAAAGAAATGAGCAAATACGCAATTAATTTAAGTGTCTCCATAAACATTATACTGATAGTAGAGTGGGAATTGAGAACACTCACTTGTATTGATGAGGAACTGGTTTGAAACTCCAGGATGGTCCACATCATGAATAGCTGCTGCAAAAATGGCTGCCAAGATCTCAAGATCTGTGAAGACAGCCTGTTAAGGACAAATTGAAAAAAATGGTGAGATATATGAAATCCTTTGAGGGAAAACTCTGAAAATTGCACCTGAAGAAAACCGTTCTTACATCTAGAGCAGGTGTGGACAGCAGAATGTGAGTTGACTGGGCCACATCAGCAGCATGAAGGCTGTTATGATAGGCCACATCTTGGTGGTAATGATCCTCAAGGGTCATCATGTACGTCACAAAAGTATCTGCCGGGATCTTAAATGTCTTAAGCAAGTCTCGTTCCTGTTACAGAGAGAAGCAATATTATTACATTCTTGAACCTTGTGATGTTTTTGTTGCAAAATGTTGAAGGTCAAAATCAAAAGAAAGGCTGGAGGAAGAACTGACCTGGAAGATGGCGTACATAATGCAAGTGAGAGGCCGGTTGTTAGAATACTCTGAAACTGTAAAGATGTTCAGGCCCCATTTGTTCAGGTCTTCTAATTCCTGGAAAGAGAAGACACAAGGGAATGAGATCTACAGAAATTTTCAGTTGAACACACCTAAAAGCACTAAAGTATTAGTCAATCTTCTACCTACTTTTGACAGTAAATCCTCTTTGTCGGTTTTGACGCCGAAGCGAGCGATGCCGAAGTTGAGGCTGGGCCCGTGGGATACTTTCTTCACACCACTGATCTGAGTCATCAGCTGCTGCTTTTTCTTCTTCTCGCGGGCTTTAAGTGTAGGCGAGGGGATCTCCATGTCATTCTGCTTGTCTGTGAGGAACAGCAAAAACCAAATGATTAGAATGATTTTGGTCTCTTTCCTGGTGGTTACTAACCTTACACTCAAATTTCCATAGGCAATGTGAAAAACGAACGTCTGTTAACCACGAAACCGAGATGGTCCTCAAATCTTTCTATCCAGATCATGCATAACTGTGTCAGTTGTTGGCAGATAACATTCCAGATTACTCAATCTCTTCATTGCAGTTTTCACAAAGACGAAACGCATACATGCCCGCACAAAAACTAATTGTTGGGAAACCGGTGGCCATGTATCGTATTTCCCTTAGTGACGTAAGCAGACGCCTTTGGCCCAGGTGCAGCGCCACAGCTGAATAGCTCACATCTGCACTCAGCGCGTGCGCTTCTCAGGATTCGTTGCCCTCGAATGGCAGAACAGACACCCAATTCACTGCGACTTTGCCACTGAGCTATTCAAGCGGGGCTTGCCCCTCCTGTCCTCCTCCTCCAGTTACACTCTCCATTTTCACTGTGACAGACCTGTCAACAAACTGCAGGGGAGCCCGTGTCTGCTTCATATGGCATCTCCAAAGGTCAACCCTCAGGAGATATCAATTGACAAAAAATGGCGGCAGAGGAAGGGCGTATCTCTGGGGCAAAAAATGCCATAAACCTTCATGTTAGGGATTTCCTCATGTGGAAATGCAAATCCAAATTCTCCCAAGGAGCCACAGGCCATGAGTGGACTGAATTCTTATTTTCAGTTTCTCAATTACTGCAGATAACGTTGTTCTCTCTTGCCGTAAAGCTCTGGCATGTCGCTGAAAGACTGCGATAACACCTGGTAATAGCCGCTGGCTTGATGGGGAGTGAGAGGAGGTGAAATATGAGGGTTGGTTAATTCATTACAGTCATTATCCTCTTCCCTCATATGTCTCTGTTAAACATGTACCCGTGCCGTAATCAGCACCGCAGTCATTCAGATGTGCTTATATCCTGAGTAAAGTAATGCGAGGCACCCTATTACGATGACGTAACGGAAAGGAACAGGGATGAGGGAGATCTGTTTTTCACTCCTTCTCTTGTGGTAAAGATGCCTGATCAAGAGAAAATGCCTCCTATCTGATCCCACAGAGCATTCACAGTGCTCCTTATAGCCAATTCGCTTGTTTTCCCACAAACATCCATCAGAGCTCCTATTTCTTTTCGCCTCTCCGCTTCGTTCCTTGCAGGATACTTTGTGTCACATGTCACTTCATGTCTCCTTCTTATATAAAAAGCAAACAACCAAAGGCAAGCCACATGTACAGACTGAGTGCACAGATCCAAGATTTCAGAAAAAGAAAGAAAAAAAAGGAAAGAGACATTATATCCGGGTCAGATTTAAACTCATCTCTGCTAAACTCACGTGTTTTGATGCAGACAGCGAAATCGCAGTGGCATAAAGACAGCAGGCACACGTGACAGCGCAAAGCTAACATTTAATCCCAGGAAAATGTAACCACTTTTAGTCCCAAATAATCCGAACACAAAGTTGTACACCATTAGAATGGACACCAATGTTTTTTGCAGATTTTGACATCAAATTTTCAAATTTACACTGCAAACACATTTTTAAATCTATATTATCATGCATTTTACCATAATGGATTTGGATGTATAAAAATAATATAATTAAATTATAATAACTTCTAATGTATTGTTTTATAATATTTAATACAAATTTTCTGAAAGTAAATGTAATTGTTATTTTTTGTTTTCAAAAATGTTTACAAATTTTATTAGTAAACGAGACCTAAATACTGATTAAAAATATATTTTTTTGCAGTGAAACTGGGCCTTAAGCAAGTCTCGTTCCTGTTACAGAGAGAAGCAATATTATTACATTCTTGAACCTTGTGATGTTTTTGTTGCAAAATGTTGAAGGTCAAAATCAAAAGAAAGGCTGGAGGAAGAACTGACCTGGAAGATGGCGTACATAATGCAAGTGAGAGGCCGGTTGTTAGAATACTCTGAAACTGTAAAGATGTTCAGGCCCCATTTGTTCAGGTCTTCTAATTCCTGGAAAGAGAAGACACAAGGGAATGAGATCTACAGAAATTTTCAGTTGAACACACCTAAAAGCACTAAAGTATTAGTCAATCTTCTACCTACTTTTGACAGTAAATCCTCTTTGTCGGTTTTGACGCCGAAGCGAGCGATGCCGAAGTTGAGGCTGGGCCCGTGGGATACTTTCTTCACACCACTGATCTGAGTCATCAGCTGCTGCTTTTTCTTCTTCTCGCGGGCTTTAAGTGTAGGCGAGGGGATCTCCATGTCATTCTGCTTGTCTGTGAGGAACAGCAAAAACCAAATGATTAGAATGATTTTGGTCTCTTTCCTGGTGGTTACTAACCTTACACTCAAATTTCCATAGGCAATGTGAAAAACGAACGTCTGTTAACCACGAAACCGAGATGGTCCTCAAATCTTTCTATCCAGATCATGCATAACTGTGTCAGTTGTTGGCAGATAACATTCCAGATTACTCAATCTCTTCATTGCAGTTTTCACAAAGACGAAACGCATACATGCCCGCACAAAAACTAATTGTTGGGAAACCGGTGGCCATGTATCGTATTTCCCTTAGTGACGTAAGCAGACGCCTTTGGCCCAGGTGCAGCGCCACAGCTGAATAGCTCACATCTGCACTCAGCGCGTGCGCTTCTCAGGATTCGTTGCCCTCGAATGGCAGAACAGACACCCAATTCACTGCGACTTTGCCACTGAGCTATTCAAGCGGGGCTTGCCCCTCCTGTCCTCCTCCTCCAGTTACACTCTCCATTTTCACTGTGACAGACCTGTCAACAAACTGCAGGGGAGCCCGTGTCTGCTTCATATGGCATCTCCAAAGGTCAACCCTCAGGAGATATCAATTGACAAAAAATGGCGGCAGAGGAAGGGCGTATCTCTGGGGCAAAAAATGCCATAAACCTTCATGTTAGGGATTTCCTCATGTGGAAATGCAAATCCAAATTCTCCCAAGGAGCCACAGGCCATGAGTGGACTGAATTCTTATTTTCAGTTTCTCAATTACTGCAGATAACGTTGTTCTCTCTTGCCGTAAAGCTCTGGCATGTCGCTGAAAGACTGCGATAACACCTGGTAATAGCCGCTGGCTTGATGGGGAGTGAGAGGAGGTGAAATATGAGGGTTGGTTAATTCATTACAGTCATTATCCTCTTCCCTCATATGTCTCTGTTAAACATGTACCCGTGCCGTAATCAGCACCGCAGTCATTCAGATGTGCTTATATCCTGAGTAAAGTAATGCGAGGCACCCTATTACGATGACGTAACGGAAAGGAACAGGGATGAGGGAGATCTGTTTTTCACTCCTTCTCTTGTGGTAAAGATGCCTGATCAAGAGAAAATGCCTCCTATCTGATCCCACAGAGCATTCACAGTGCTCCTTATAGCCAATTCGCTTGTTTTCCCACAAACATCCATCAGAGCTCCTATTTCTTTTCGCCTCTCCGCTTCGTTCCTTGCAGGATACTTTGTGTCACATGTCACTTCATGTCTCCTTCTTATATAAAAAGCAAACAACCAAAGGCAAGCCACATGTACAGACTGAGTGCACAGATCCAAGATTTCAGAAAAAGAAAGAAAAAAAAGGAAAGAGACATTATATCCGGGTCAGATTTAAACTCATCTCTGCTAAACTCACGTGTTTTGATGCAGACAGCGAAATCGCAGTGGCATAAAGACAGCAGGCACACGTGACAGCGCAAAGCTAACATTTAATCCCAGGAAAATGTAACCACTTTTAGTCCCAAATAATCCGAACACAAAGTTGTACACCATTAGAATGGACACCAATGTTTTTTGCAGATTTTGACATCAAATTTTCAAATTTACACTGCAAACACATTTTTAAATCTATATTATCATGCATTTTACCATAATGGATTTGGATGTATAAAAATAATATAATTAAATTATAATAACTTCTAATGTATTATGTTTTATAATATTTAATACAAATTTTCTGAAAGTAAATGTAATTGTTATTTTTTGTTTTCAAAAATGTTTACAAATTTTATTAGTAAACGAGACCTAAATACTGATTAAAAAAATATTTTTTTGCAGTGAAACTGGGCCTCACACTGCGGCAAGGTACATGAGTGTTTGTGTGTTTAGATGGGGTATGCGATGGCGTCTGGATGAGAACACAGGAGCTGGATGAGTCACAGGTTCTCTTGCCTGGATGTTCCGTGCTGGGGGGTTCCACCGTCAGCATTGCTTTACAGCAGGATCCCATCCCCCTCCGTCTCTCCCTCCCTCCCCTAACTCTGCTCTCTCCTTTCCACCCTCTCCTTCCTCTTTTCCAACTGCTGCATTGGGGATCTCTCTCCTCATGCAGAAACGAAAGTCTGATGCCATCTCACGGCATTCCACAAACAAAATGAACCTTTGTACTGCATGTCTTATTTTTTAATGTACAATACTTTCACAACTAATGGATTAATTTTTTTCGTTTTCATAGCTTTTCGATATATAGCATCAGTGAGTCTAAACCGCAGTTCAGCTCTGGAAATGACGCAGCCCAAATTCAATCCACAATGGAGCATACTGTATATAGCCAATGTTTAGCGATGACTGCGGGTGTTTTAGCGTAAGAGTGAATTTGTGTGTGATTACCTAGGAAGGTGTTGGAGATGAACTCCGACACCTGATTGCCAGATCTGCTCATCTCAGAGAGGTGCGTCAGCTCCCTGTTCAACATTCTCTTGAACTGGAAAAGATAAATAGGGAGAATCATTAGTCAAAAACCCACAAAAAGTTTCAACACTGAATCTTCGGTAGGGCTGCCATTTTTCAAGATTTAAAAAATTACTTTATACAGACATGCATTTACATAAAATACCGCAATGTGTTATGGTGTACAACATGTTAAATATGACCAAATAAATATGATAATAAATATAAATTATATAAAAATCGTATTTAATATCTTAACATCTAATAACTTCTCTAAATATCCTAATATCTAATATATATAAATCTCCTTTTTAAAATATTCATGCATTTATTTTAATGCATTAATTTCTAGTGTTTTTAGATAAATCTGTAATACCTCATATCAAGCATAAAAAAATGCAAATTCATAAAGAATGAGAGAGAAGTGCAGTACAAGAGACACGGTAGACACTGGTTGAGATTTAATTTGTAAACTGCAATTTTCAAACTGTTGCCAAGTTTAAAGTTATTTTTTCTTTAGCATTTTTTTCACATATAATGTATGAATATATGTTCCCAAAGCAACGATGTGGTTCCAAAAAGACGCAATGTTGGCAAGAAATAAATAAACAAATGCATATATAATTAAATAAGTCAAAAGCGGCAGCCATATCCTGCGCCACATCTCTGATTTTTGAGCTTTATTAGTACAAAGGGATAAATCACAAAAACAACCCATATAACTGTGCTTTTGACATCCAAATCAACATCTTAGTCAAGATACAAAAGATTAATTTGAAAAGAACAGTCCAAAATAGAGCTCGGACCTAGACATTCCAGCACAAGGATGCCACACAGCGAGACTTGCTGTAGGTTTTCCTCCTCAGTGTCTCTCTAGACCACCAACAAACACTGAACCAAAACCAACCTCCATTAGCAGACCAAAAAACAGCTTAGTAGTCGCCATACACACCTTAATGTAACCCCAGGATACAGAGAGAAGGTAATTGGCCTCAGGCATTTTGGATCGTATTTAAGCTCCCGAAATCCACAACAGCGCACTCCTATACCACAAAGGAAAAGAGCCAGAGAGAGGCAGACGAAAGGGATTCTTCTAGTTGGGAAAAACGAAAAATCCCCTCTTCTCTCCTCTCCTCCTCTGCTTGGTATGGATTAGTTGCCAAAAAACAGACGCAAGCCATCTTCATGGCAGCTCTCAGCCGAATCGCTCTGCTGTTGACTGTCCATGGCTGCAGATACGAGCGGGGGCCGACAGGATGGGAACACCCGTCCTGAGCTGGAGGATGATCCAGAGAGCGACGGCCGGAGCTGGAAGCGAAGCGGAGGGTCTGGAAGTGCCAATGAATTATGGAGGAGATGAAGGAACATTGGAGCAGAGGGAGGGAGGGATGAGGAAAAAAAACACTGGGATGCTCATCTGGCTGGAGGGGGGTCTTCCTCTGCTGGATTAGTACCGCTCCGCTGCTGCAGTACGCTCATGCTCTCTCATCATCTCGCTCTGTATTTCTCTCTCTCTCCTTCTGCCTCGCCCCCTCCCTCATGCGTCTCTCCCCCAGTCTCGAGTCTGTCAGCCCCAGCAACACGCTCCACAGGCACATATGATTTGACACAGAGATGGCAGAGGAGGGGGGGAGCCCCTGCTTTGTTATGCGGGGAAAGCACAAGTAGAAAAAAAAGACATGTAAAGAAGGACAGAAAGACAGGGAGGTCTAAGGACGCCCTTGGCCTTTTGTGAATGATTAATCGACTTTAAGGGATTCCTAATCGAGAACAACTTTAAGCCCTTTTGTAGCTGCAAAGGCAACGTAAGAGCAAAGATGGGAGATTTACATGAGTCTGGGTTCTTTTAGGCTCGGTCAGCCTAATTTATTGCATTCCCATAATGCATGAGGATTCACATGGAGCTCTGTGCTATTTTTACCATAGAGTATGGTGGGAGAGGAGACTTGGATAATTGCCTCTCTTTGTCTTTTTTCGGTGACATCAACACCCCCCCCATGACTCTCTCTCTTTCTCTCTGCCTCTCCGTCTACATGCGAACACCAATTACACCAACATCCCAACGCCATGGCAACAGCGTCATGTGAAATGGGCTGCCGCTGAGGCTTCCCTCCCTCCCCAGCCTCCAAAGATAGCTGCCCAGGAATCACGAGGACACCACTGCGTCTCAATAACATCTGTCAAATCAACCCCCAATTCATCAGAATGGGGAGGAGGCAAACGTCATATTTTTTTGCAGTGAAACTGGGCCTCACACTGCGGCAAGGTACATGAGTGTTTGTGTGTTTAGATGGGGTATGCGATGGCGTCTGGATGAGAACACAGGAGCTGGATGAGTCACAGGTTCTCTTGCCTGGATGTTCCGTGCTGGGGGGTTCCACCGTCAGCATTGCTTTACAGCAGGATCCCATCCCCCTCCGTCTCTCCCTCCCTCCCCTAACTCTGCTCTCTCCTTTCCACCCTCTCCTTCCTCTTTTCCAACTGCTGCATTGGGGATCTCTCTCCTCATGCAGAAACGAAAGTCTGATGCCATCTCACGGCATTCCACAAACAAAATGAACCTTTGTACTGCATGTCTTATTTTTTAATGTACAATACTTTCACAACTAATGGATTAATTTTTTTCGTTTTCATAGCTTTTCGATATATAGCATCAGTGAGTCTAAACCGCAGTTCAGCTCTGGAAATGACGCAGCCCAAATTCAATCCACAATGGAGCATACTGTATATAGCCAATGTTTAGCGATGACTGCGGGTGTTTTAGCGTAAGAGTGAATTTGTGTGTGATTACCTAGGAAGGTGTTGGAGATGAACTCCGACACCTGATTGCCAGATCTGCTCATCTCAGAGAGGTGCGTCAGCTCCCTGTTCAACATTCTCTTGAACTGGAAAAGATAAATAGGGAGAATCATTAGTCAAAAACCCACAAAAAGTTTCAACACTGAATCTTCGGTAGGGCTGCCATTTTTCAAGATTTAAAAAATTACTTTATACAGACATGCATTTACATAAAATACCGCAATGTGTTATGGTGTACAACATGTTAAATATGACCAAATAAATATGATAATAAATATAAATTATATAAAAATCGTATTTAATATCTTAACATCTAATAACTTCTCTAAATATCCTAATATCTAATATATATAAATCTCCTTTTTAAAATATTCATGCATTTATTTTAATGCATTAATTTCTAGTGTTTTTAGATAAATCTGTAATACCTCATATCAAGCATAAAAAAATGCAAATTCATAAAGAATGAGAGAGAAGTGCAGTACAAGAGACACGGTAGACACTGGTTGAGATTTAATTTGTAAACTGCAATTTTCAAACTGTTGCCAAGTTTAAAGTTATTTTTTCTTTAGCATTTTTTTCACATATAATGTATGAATATATGTTCCCAAAGCAACGATGTGGTTCCAAAAAGACGCAATGTTGGCAAGAAATAAATAAACAAATGCATATATAATTAAATAAGTCAAAAGCGGCAGCCATATCCTGCGCCACATCTCTGATTTTTGAGCTTTATTAGTACAAAGGGATAAATCACAAAAACAACCCATATAACTGTGCTTTTGACATCCAAATCAACATCTTAGTCAAGATACAAAAGATTAATTTGAAAAGAACAGTCCAAAATAGAGCTCGGACCTAGACATTCCAGCACAAGGATGCCACACAGCGAGACTTGCTGTAGGTTTTCCTCCTCAGTGTCTCTCTAGACCACCAACAAACACTGAACCAAAACCAACCTCCATTAGCAGACCAAAAAACAGCTTAGTAGTCGCCATACACACCTTAATGTAACCCCAGGATACAGAGAGAAGGTAATTGGCCTCAGGCATTTTGGATCGTATTTAAGCTCCCGAAATCCACAACAGCGCACTCCTATACCACAAAGGAAAAGAGCCAGAGAGAGGCAGACGAAAGGGATTCTTCTAGTTGGGAAAAACGAAAAATCCCCTCTTCTCTCCTCTCCTCCTCTGCTTGGTATGGATTAGTTGCCAAAAAACAGACGCAAGCCATCTTCATGGCAGCTCTCAGCCGAATCGCTCTGCTGTTGACTGTCCATGGCTGCAGATACGAGCGGGGGCCGACAGGATGGGAACACCCGTCCTGAGCTGGAGGATGATCCAGAGAGCGACGGCCGGAGCTGGAAGCGAAGCGGAGGGTCTGGAAGTGCCAATGAATTATGGAGGAGATGAAGGAACATTGGAGCAGAGGGAGGGAGGGATGAGGAAAAAAAACACTGGGATGCTCATCTGGCTGGAGGGGGGTCTTCCTCTGCTGGATTAGTGCCGCTCCGCTGCTGCAGTACGCTCCTGCACTCTCATCATCTCGCTCTGTCTTTTTCTCTCTCCTTCTGCCGCGCCCCCTCCCTCCCGCGTCTCTCCCCCGGTCTCGAGTCTGTCAGCCCCAGCAACCCGCTCCACAGGCACATATGATTTGACATAGAGATGGCAGAGGAGGGGGGAGCCCCTGCTTTGTTATGCGGGGAAAGAGCGAGAAGAAAAAGACACGTAAAGAAGGACAGAGTCTAAGGACGCCCTTGGCTTTTTGGGCCCTTGACTAATCGAGTACAACTTGTAAGAGCGAAGATGGGAGCTTTAGATGAGTCTGGGTTCTTTCAGGCTCGGTCAGCCTTCTTTATTGCATTCCCATAATACATGAGGCTTCATTTGGGGAGCTCTGTGCTATTTTTACCATAGAGTATGGTGGGAGAGGAGACTTGGATAATTGCCTCTCTTTGTCATTTTTCGGTGACATCAACACCCCCCCAGGACTCTCTCTCCCTCTCTGTCTACATCCGAACACCAATTACACCAACATCCCAACGCCATGGCAACAGCATCATGTGACATGGGCTACCGCTGAGGCTTCCCTCCCTCCCTAGCCTCCAAAGATGGCTGCCCAGGAATCACGAGGACACCACTGCGTCTCAATAACATCTGCCAAATCAACCCCCAATTCATCAAAACAGGGAGGAGGCAAAGGGCCAAAATCGATGAGCCGCCCTTGATAAAGTCACCTCGGGCAGAGTCCAATGACAGGGAAAACCCTTAGTGAATATGAGGAAAAAATAAGCCAATTGTTGTATAAGGATGGTGTTTGGATGATTTTGCGGGTCAACCTATTGGTTTCCTAAATGGACAATCTTAAAAGTACCCAAAACCACTAAATCCAGCAGACCAGACCAGGCTGTCCTCATCATCTTCACCTATGATGGATAAAATGGTGCATTTCTTAACCAAAAAAGCAATAGATGCGTAACTACACAAAGGATTTACATTGAAACAATTTACACTCAGGAGCTGCTTATACATTTCATAAATAATTACAAAGGAACAGCGAGTAATATTCAATTAAATATGAAATCTTGAAGTAGAAAGACATAGCATTTTCTTGTAAAATGTATTTGCCTGTTTTCGCTTCTTAATGCAGAGAAGTTGGTCTCAGATTTGAGGAGCTAAACGGATTCATGCAATGATTTTGGATTCTCCGAACTGTGAAATGTATGTGCGTGTCTGTGTTTGTGCGCCTTCATGAGAAAAAGAGAGTGGGAGAGAGAAAGGGAAAGAGGGGGTAAAGAGAAAGATGGAAAATAGCGGAGAATCTCTGCATTATGCTGCAGTGGGGGTTCCTCAGCAATGCGTGAGATGTCTAGTCAGAGCTGTAAACAACTCTGACATATCAAAGACGCGCTGCCTTCCGCGGCTCATCCATATCAGTAAATCCATGTGAGTGTCTCTCTCTAAGCTCTGTGAGAAACATGGCTGTAGGGGGGTGGATGTGCGCTGACTTCTGCTCTGAAAAGAGTAAAGGGTGAATGGAGGGAATTTAATTCTGAAAGACCTTCATTCTGTAGAAAAAGAACCCTTCAAACACTTGATTAAAGATAACCGATTCTATCAGCTAACAGTTTAATGCATTTAGAGGCAAAAACTAATTTATTTAGGAAATTATATCTGGGTAGTTGACACATAATGAACATCAAGATTTACAGTTAAAATTTATATGAATGTACTGTATATTCATCTGTCCTACAATCTTTTTATTTTTTTCGCCTTTTCGACATCACTAATTCTACAAGGTCATAATTTTAATGCAAATATTCTCTCCACATTTCCTTCAGTATCTCAGTTAACGTTACCTCATAAAAGCTACATTGTAATTAAAAATAAGCCAATTGGTTTTTAAAATAGTTTTATATGGAGAATACAGTAGCTTGTGACACCAACAGACACGTCAACTTCCCAAATGTATTTCATGTCAACTACCCATTGGCAGAAAATATGCATATCATAATAATTTATATATTAGGTATGCAAGTTTTCATTTGTGCATTTCTTTAGAATAGGATAATCAGCAATTGGATGCTATTTTATTTTATCCACAAGTGGGCGGTATAA